GCTCCCACAACTTCCGAAGGCCACTTCTGTTCCACTGGTTGATTGTTCTCCGAAAATTTTTTCTTATTTCCAGGTTGAATCGCTTCTTGTTCAGTTTCCATCCATTATTCCTTATCTGGCCTTCAGGGGCTTTGGAAAATAAGCTTGACCCCTTTTTCTTTGTGGCAGCCCCTCAAATATTGAAACACTGCTATCATGTCCCCACTGGTCCTTCTCTTCACTAGACTAGCCATGGCCAGTTCCAGTAACCGTTGTTCATATGTTTATTCTCCAGTCTCCTAATCCAGTGTTTCTCAACCTTGGCGACTTTAAGTCCTGTGGACTTCAACTCCCAGAATTCCCCCAGCCAGCTCTGCTGGCTGGGGGATTCTGGGAGTTGAAGTCCACAGGACTTAAAGTCGCCAAGGTTGAGAAACACTGCTGTAGGTGGTTGTCAGTTAACCACAATAATAGGGACTGAAATTTCTATTGTTAAGCAATGTGGTTGTAAAGAGCAATATCACTCAACCCCATCACTGCTTAACTGCTGCTGTTAAGTGAGGGCTACAAGTCGTTAAGCAAGTCCTGGGTGCTTTAAAGACAGGCAAGTAAGGCGGGCACCTGGTGCTGAATGGGAAAGGGTGTGCAAGTGACTTGTGCGACACGAGTGCAGTGAAGCCAGGGCTGGCTGATGGCAGACTGGAGAGAGAGTGAACAAATGATCAGAGCAACCTATAGGACCTTCCCTGCTGACTTCCCCATTGATTTTGCTTATGGGAAGCCAAGCAGGGAAGATCTCAAATTGTGATCGTGTGACTGTTGGATGCTGCAGTGTGGTAGGTGTGAGCTGGTTGCCAAGAGGCCAGCTCACGATCACATGACATGATGTGACAGCTGAAACTTCAAGAACAAGCTGTCTTTTTTTCTCCCAGTACCTTCGTAACTTTGAACAATTGCTGAACAACTGGTCAGTAAATGAGGCTGAAGTTCTCTTCTCTCTTTTGTGGAGAATAGCTGGGTTTGGGATTCATTGGTTTGACTCACTGCCTGTATCAATTGGAAAGTCTCTTACCTCTATATCCATAAAAAAGGTGTGAAAGAATCTTTCCATCTTGGAAGTTAACAGACAAGCAAGCAAAGATACTGGAAAAATTTAAGTAATTAAAAATGTTCAAATAATGTAGAATGGCAAAGTGTGTTATTCTCAGGACAATGACCTTACTATAGCTCTAAATAACTTGCCAGCCTTTGTCTAACTTTCCAATATTCTGTTGGCTTGGAAACATTTTGAATAATTTAAACATAATATAGAGTACAGTGAAAATTTAATTTTATGGGTCTATGGATGTTGATAGAGAAAGTTGGTGTATATATTTAAGGTTGTTTAATGTGAAGAATCACTCTCCTAATCACTCTGTTGTAATGGCCCTGGAAGAAACTCTACTTTCCTCCCCTCTATCTGAGGTTAGTTTGCTGTTCTACAATAAATGTAAAATATAGCAGCATTAGAATGGAGAGAACACAGTACTTAGTTCTGTCATTGAATATTTGGAATGAACAATAGGAAAGTGGGGAAAAACAAATCCCTGTTTTCATTTCAGATCTCTTAGGAACCCTTAGGATATTGTGACAATTTTGTAGTACACTAAAACTGTTTTATAGGAGGTGGCTAGTTTTTCCACAATCTGGTTGATGAGAAAGTCCTTGTCATTGGCTGCAAAAACTAGAATGGTAATGATACTGAGCAGACATTCAGGCCAGTTCACTGGAATTGGGTTAAATGGATTTATAATCCAAAGGAGGCTAGTTCATAGATACAATGCTATGCTTGAGCTGAGATAAAAGCCATAATCGCAGTACATTATGTAGCATTTGGGAATGGAAATAATGCAACTTTATTGAAGAGAAAAGAAAAGCTACATAGATTGGAATTGTTTGCAGTGTTTCTGATTTTTCCATCTTCCTAACCGCAAATCTTCCTTGTTTTCCAGCTGGTTGGTCTACTACTGATTGGTGTGGCTGCCTGGGGCAAAGGATTTGGGATTGTTCCCAGCCTCCACATCATCGGAGGGGTCATTGCTGTGGGCTTCTTCCTGCTTCTCATCGCCATCGTGGGACTCATCGGTGCTATCAACCATCACCAAGTCATGCTTTTCTTTGTATCCTTTTATGCTCTTGGCAGAATTTATTCCCTGTCTCCTGAAATCTACCTTGCAAAAATAGATATGTGAGAATTTCACCAGATGTCTCATTGGCGTGACTGGAGTTGAAATTGCCAGTTATAAGATCCTTGCAATATCGCACACTAACTCTGCTCACTTCCAGCAGTTCAATCCTCACCAGCTCAAAGTTGACTTGGTCTTCCATCCTTCCAAGATCAATAAAATGACCCATATTGTTGGAGGCCAATGTGCTGACTCTGTAAACCTCTTGAGAGAGACAGCAAATATACTGACTGTAAACTGTTCCGAGTGGTACAGTTCTTAAAAAGGTTGGGATTTTTGTTTTTTAAGAAAGGGGGAAATGATTTCAAAACAACCTTTCAAGGTTTACAGAGGGCTATAAAGCAGTATGAAGCGGTACATGCTATTGCTTTGCTATTGCTATTGCGGGCTGCCTAAGTGAAAAGTGAAAACTTATGGCTGTTTAGATCTTGATGAGCTACAATTCCCATTGAACCCCTATTATGCTTGGTGGGAGTTTATTTAAGAGATATGGGAGGAAGATAGATATGTTGGTGAAATATATTTGTAAGTTTTTCTCACTTTCACTTGGGTACTTGAGACTACCAAATAGGTAATATTTTGTCTTCTGCATTGAGAATAACAGCTGCCATTGCCTTAATTTCGAGGCTCTGCTCCAGAAGTTTCCTTCTGTTTTTGTCATGGTATGGAAAGTGTGAATCTGTTGATGAAAATAACCAGTAAAGAATCCTGCCCTCGGGCAAGGAATTAAAATTTGATTATCATATAGTCGCTTCCAACCTTCAGATCATTATAATATTAAGATAGGATTAAATCCTGCATATATAAAATGATGAATAAATCTGGGTAGAACTGTAGAGCACTAGAGCAGAAAATCTATTATAAAATAGTGCATATAAACTTAGAAAAAAGAGGCCAGAAATAAACTATGTTTATGACAAACATCTGTATTGTCAGTCTTATCCAATAAACTTTCAGAATAAAAGCTCACAATCTGAAATATTGCAATAAAAGGAAAGGGATGGGGGTGGATCGGCTGTATGAGATCTTATAATCATTCTTTTTGGCAGGGAGGCAGGAAGCAAACTTTCTGAAGCTGCTGCAACTTTGATTAGTGGATAGATTCAGACTAGCAGTTCCTTTCCATGATCTGGGAGCAGAAGTTGAAATATAACCATGTATCGTTAAAACAAATATATAAGGATAAATGTTTCCTGAATTTAATGCTTTCATGTTGTTCATTCTCCATCTATTTTTGCACTGTCCTAAACTGTAATATCCAATTTGGATGCAAGAGATGCCAAAATATATCTGGATATACAAGGAGCAATCCACCTTTATCACTAGAGATTATATTAGTGATAAAGCTGGATTGTTCCTTCTTTATTTTCATACTAACTGATAACCTGGCACTGCCCGGGTATTTATTTATCCCAACCCTCCTTCCATGAACGTCACCGCAATTTCTAATATTGGATTTCCCCCCCTACCAGAGGGAGCCCCCTTGTAGAGTACTATGAAGCCGTTACCATGGCAACTCCACAGTGCTGTACAGTAGAAGCCATTTTAAGGCAGTATCATAGAATCCATTTTAAGGCACAACAGGATGTATCCTAACAGAACACATACCCTGAGGAGTTTTAGGGGTGTCTTACCCACACAGTTTTCCAGAGAGTAAGTAATCTGTGTACCAAGTTTGGTTGAAATTGCTTGAGGCATTCCAGAGTTATGCTGGAACATACAGACACACACACAGCCATTTTTATATAGATAGATTTATGTCGGCAAACCTACTGAATAGAAATTGTTAATGTGCTTGGGATAGGGTATAGTAGGTGATGAGTCTGTTTTTAGAATTATATATTGTAACTGAATAGTTGCTTTTGAGGCACATGACACAATATTCTTTGGTTCTATAACATTCTTGTAACTTCCATCTACTGTGCCAACATCATTTGTGTTAAGAGTTTGCTGGTTATGTAAAGGACTTAGTAGGAATACATTTTTGTAAGCTGTTAATTGAAATTTAATGTTAGGGTAGGAGAAAGTATGGGGAACATAGAAGCAGTGTTCCTGTTTCCTTATAAGATTTTAACACTTTCTCAGTGATGGATATATTGGTTCAAGTAGTAGCAGATTGTTGATATGACTGATGACTCATTAATCAAGGTATATTGATTTGATTAATGACTTTTTATAAGTTATTAATCAAATCAATATACCTTGAAAAATGAGTTATGAAAAAGAAAGAAAAGAAACCTTATCATCCATAAAGACATACCATGTGCTTCAGGATATGAGTGGAGTTGATACAATCTCAGCAGTAGTGTGGTGGATGGAAGGTGGCTTGCCAAGTTTTGTTGAAGTCTCTTTTTTCAGTAAATGACAAAAGAAGACAGAAACAGAGTTCATACAATACCATGATGTGGTTGATTTGGTTTTGGTTTTAGTAAATTGTGCACACCCAGTCATTGTAGATTATAAACTATTGTTTATAGTTTAATGCAGGGATACCCAGTTTATGTCACTTGAAGCTCTGGTCCAAAGGTAGCTAGAACCCAAAATTAAAATGAGATTGAAGTTTGGTGACAGCAGCTGAATTTTTAAGTGGTGAAATACCAGTAAGTGTCCTATGGCACTGCAATTTTTAAAGTACCAGTTTTGATCCTTAAAATTCTTCCCAACTTGAAAAATTTCAAAACAGCGTATTAATTTTTGGCCCTGCCCAATCCACGGCTGTTGGAGCCCTAAAAGAGGACCGAAGGACCACATTTGATCCATAGGTTGCATTTTCTTTGCACTCCTGCCTTTATGTTTTGTGGAAGCCAACCAAGCTAATTTACAGAGGAATCCAGACTGATTCTTGAGCTGCAGCTACTTTTCTGAGTGGTACAGCTTTGTGTGCAGCTTAGAAAGGTTGGATTTTGTTTTTTAAAGAAAAGGGGAATGACTTTGAAAGAACCTTTCGGGGTATTTCAAGGTCTTGTTTCTATGCAGAGCCTGGTTATTAGCATTACTAAAACCACACAAAATCTGAGAAGACGCCTTTTTAAACTTGGGGCTAGTTGTTGACCATTCAAAATCTGCTTAGGAAGCATAAATCGCCTTATTTTATCGTAGCAACCTCCCCCACTTTCAACAGCAATGTCTGGCAGGTCTTTTTGTGGATTTCTCAACAGAATTAGGCTGCTCATGAATGACAGGCAGTGTAAGTGGTATCAAGCAACTTCCTTATTTGTCCAGAAAACTTGAAATGAGAAATACTGATGTAAGGCAACAGGAAACGCAGTCAATGCAGCTCTGTGTGCTAAGACATCGCTGACACATACAAATTGTATTTTAAACCAAAAATAGTCACCTTTGAGTTCAACTCAGCATTGGTTAACCAACAATGGGCTATACAAGAAAGGTTCTAGAAAAGCCAACACCTTTTTCTTTTGCAATAATGGTGGAGAGGAAACTGTCAGCTGCAAAGTCTGAATTCTGGATTCTTATTTACACACAAGACCCATGATTGATTTAAGAGTTTACTAATGAGTAAGGCAAAAATATCCGTCTGGTGCCCCCATCCTTAAGAAACCATTGCCACTCAGATTAGCACTTTTCGTTAGATGAGCAGTAGTTTACCTTCGTGAACAACAGCTTTGATTGTTTGAAACTTCCTGTGTACCTGGACTCCTAAATGTTAAAAAAAATGGCATTCCCAATCTTTCAAAAGTATTCCCACTTTAGTTAACCTCCTTGGAAAAATCCATATTGATTTTGAGAATATTTTACTTTTACTTTACTCTTAGTGTAAATATCATTTTATCTGTACCTCAGTTTTACTTGCTGTTCACAAACTATATTTTTCCCGAGATGTTCCTTAATTGCATCTTCAGTATATGATAATTCTAGGGCTAATCTTTATTTTCCAGTTTGGAATTTCCTGTGCATGCCTGGTACTGAAGACACATAAGCAGGTAAGTCTGTCTTTCTGCCTGAGTTCCATTCACTTTTTCTGGCTATATTTAGCCTACACCACAACAAATTTACTTTTTAAAAAATAGCCTTGTGTGTTTAGTCCCAACATTTAACAAAGGAATAAGAAATGGAGCAACTTGCAAGATATCCCAATCCCATAAGCAGGGTGAAGCTTGTGACTCCCAGCCCATTTTCTTTGATCCCTTAGAGTTTTGATACAAATAGAGATACTGAATGCGGAAGTTGTGATTTGGCAACTTTAAAGAAGGGAACTAATAGAACCATACTTGTTGGGTCAACAAAAGTGTAAGCATAGGGTAAATTCCATCTTTGTTTTCCAAAGTAACAGGAAGACTTTTTTCTTGACCCAAGCAGCATGTTAATTTTGCATTTGTCTCTCTGTATTTCCGTGTGTGTGTGTGTGTGTGTGTGTGTGTGTTCAGCATGTCCTTTAGCCCAATTGTGTAGCTGTTTAATTGTCCGCCCAATTTTCATATTTATATATTCGAATCCCTAGCACCGCCTAAGGGAGTGAGCTCCCGTTTCTTGTCCCAGCTTCTGCCAACCTAGCAGTTCGAAAGCATGTAAAAATGCAAGTAGAAAAAGAGGGACCGCCTTTGGTGGGAAGGTAACAGCGCTCCCTGGACCTTCACCGTTTAGTCATGCCGGCCACATGACCACAGAGATGTCTTCGGACAGCGCTGGCTCTTTGGCTTTGAAATGGAGATGAGCAACAGCCCCTAGAGTCAGGAACGACTAGCACATACGTGCGAGGGGAACCTTTATCTTTACTTAAA